CAAGCGAAATAATTCTCTTCGTATTTTTGAACGTTTGTACATTGGGCTTGGCGTGAAGCGGTTTCTCCCTCTGAAAAGCAAATAAAACGGAGATATTTCCGCAAAGCCGAAATTAAAGTTTCCCCGGCACTCCAGTGTACATTTTTGGTGAAAATTGAAAATCTTTAAAACAAAAGAGGCAAGTTGAGCGGCGAAATAAGTTTCCGACTACAAATAAAATTTTGGCCTTCGCACCCGGATGTGTTTTAATCTTTTGTCATCGGGGATTTCCCTTCGAAGTGAATGGATAATGGTTTTTTAGCTTTCCATCATTGCAGTGATACATTTCTGACTGGAAATCAATTTAGTATTCAAATTGCATTATTTCATCAACCCTAGTTATTTTTTGCAAATTAATGAAACTCACTCAAAACAGCTGAAAATTTCATATTTCCTTCCAAATGAATTTTGCATAATTTTTAAAATAAAACTCCTGGCAGTTTCAATTTAGGGCTAAGGGCCAAAGCTGTTCATTGCGAAGACTGAACGGAATATTTAAAAACCATAAATTAATAATGTAACTCGTTGACGAGGAGAGAGAGCAAAACGGCCAAAGTCCCATATTTCTTTTATTAACTGCCTGGAGTGTTTCGCCCGGAATAATAAGCCATCTCCGTAGACAAAATTAGGCCCATTTAAAAATTTAAGAAGACTTTCTTTATACCGCATTCCTTATATTTCGTTCAATTCAATTCGAATCCTTTGTGTCGCCCAAGACATATATTGCATTGTATTGTATCCCCAACAGTCTGTTAAATCTCTACCAGGTTTGCTTTCCGCATTTTTTACATTCCCATTGCGCAAAATTCCGGTTTTGTTCGCCGGCTAATAACGTAAATGGTCGACTTATTACAGATGCCGCAGTTCGAGTTAAATGAAACCGTGGAAATTTCTTTTTGATGCTGCACAAAGGAAAATTGCGACGACATCTTGGAAGTTTACATTTACAAGAGGCGAGAGAAACACCAACAGAAAAAACCCTAGAGTGTTAAAGCAGCTATAAATTAAAAATTAAATAGTATTTTAATATGTTTTCGCTGATTTCAAGTTGGTGAAAGAAGTTAAACTTAAAGAAAGGTCCTAAACTGAAGACTTGTTGGTGGTCTCGCTTCCTTGCATTTTTGCGAGATAATGAAAAAAGCAGTAAAAAATTGGGGGTATTTGGGATACCCGTGCCCGTTCCACTAAAGCGTTAACAATATACCAAAATATTTAAAATAATCATCCCAATTGCGTAATTATACGACATACCTGTGAAAATATCCAAACCCACAGGTGCGGAATGGGAAAATGTTCCTGAGCGACGTCACGCAAGCTTTTTCAGTCTCGAGGATAATTTAGTTAGTTGCCTGTCGCAAGACAGAGAGTGGTCGATCGATTATACCCCCTTTTTCACAAACAAAGATAATTTTCGCTTAGTGGAGGATTCGACGAGAAGATGTTGGAAAAAAGCCGACTTTCTCACCAATTACCTTCACGGAATCGGTTGTTTGCTCTGCGATCTCAGCTGGAGACGTATATTTAAAATGTACTTAAGTTTGTCAATGTTCGACAATTTTCGGTAATTTCAAAACTGGCTTTACTCGGGAAAATTAAATAACATTAACCATAAGTGAGGCGTAATGAGTGAGGCTTTCGGGAAACAAACATGGAACGTTTGTTCTTCGTACGTCATCACGACTGATCCAGCAAATGTAACAGAAAAAATCAGCGGTGTGGGATTAAATGAAGTATCATAGCTTTAAATCTACACAACACGCTAAAGTTAAAACTGCAGATGCTTGTCTGGCAGTTCATTCAGGATTGATGCGTTGGTTTCCTTCATAATTGGATGTTCGCGTTGTCTACGGCCGCCTCGACATTAATTTCACGAAAATCGATTGAGCGGAAATTAAAGGAGAATTCAATTATCCCTGGTATCCATTTAGCATGATTTTTCAACCTGCATTTTGTCCAAATCAAATAAATGTTAGAGCGTACTTTTAACTCGCCCTTTACGCCATTTTTCGTCAATTATTCAACTCAGCTTCGGTCCTTCCACATGATTTGATTTTGGAAACTTTTGCATTAAGATTAAATAGACTAAAAAATTATTTTCGGGTGTGAATTTAATGAGGCCAAGCCTGGAAAGGTGGCAATTTTTGAAACTTTGAAAAAAAAGTGATATGTGTAAAACAGTTTAAACTTTGAACCAGTGTCGGGCCGGAAGGAATTGCCACAACTTCACCAACAGATCTCTGCTTTAGTTCGAATGTTGAAAAGTTTAAAGGGAATTTGATGCCAAAGTTGGGCGTCAGATTCCCCTTTAACTTTTTAGCTTTCTAAATCAAATCAGCGTTCTGTTCATGTAAGAATTTTGATGCCTCGAACTGTAAACTCATTATTTGTAAAATTTTTGTTGCCTTCCAAGCCAGTGTCGTACTTGCAGGGTTTGGCACAGCTTAGATACACTTTTTACTGCTTCTATTTTGAAAATAGTACAATACCTGCCCGTTTCCGCGCCCACATATTATGTAAGCTGAAAAGAAAGGTTTACACGGTAAAAGCTAGATATTTTTCCATACGCTTGTTCTTTATGGTTTTACTATGGCGCAAAAGTCGAATCACCGATTACACCAGTTGATACTTCATACAGGAAAGCACCGACCATTCAAACAGTGTTCGAGGAAAATTGAAAAATGAATGTTAATGAGCGTTGGCTAGCGAAATTTCCTCATCCTGGAAGAATGATAGGTGCACATAAATTGCGCCCATATACCCAGTGCTTACATAATAATCTCATAGAAACTAACTGCGACCACAAAATACAGGCTGCACGGATGCACCTCCCGAATATCCAGCATGCATCCGGGAATTATTTTAGTTATAACCTTTATTAAATGACTTCGGGGTGCTCCTCACTGAATTTATCGTCTAATATCGTCTGGTTTACTGCCAAAGACATAGGTATCTTAGTTGTTAAATTTTATAACAGTAGGTGTAAAGAAAATGTACGTTTCGAGATATTCACTTTTGATGGCTCTGAACTGGTGCGAGAGAGAATCGTGATGGGTTCGTTACTATTTCGGTAATAAAGTGTCTCACTAATAACGGGAAACGGTTATGGCGGCCGTAAAATGCCTTCTATCAATTCTTTGAGGAAAGTGGATTGGCAACTCGAGAGTTTTATTAGGTGCATATAGTTCCTGAGTAACGACACATCAGCAGACAGCTCAAAGGGATTGGGGCTATTTTTTAAACTCCACTTCACCACAGGCTTTTCGCTTAGGCCTAGATGTTTCCAATGCCATATTATTAAATCCAGTATATTTCATGACTAATATTATTGGTTGAGTTGTACAAAAGTTCTCTATTTGGCCTTCAGGTTTAGTCTCAGAAAGTTAAACAATAACCAAGCAAATGATCCGTTTCAAACTCGGGGGATAACAGAATCGACGATAATAACAATAAAGAGTAAAAGGTATTTTCCAATAATAATAATAAAAAATGCATGCCTCCCAAAGAAGCATTTAAGCTCGGACATTTATTTAATTGAACATCCAATGTAGGGAATATTGGCTTTAATTTAATAAGCTTTTGTTCTGGAAAAGCAAAAAGCGTTTGCTGATTATTTTTTATGAGAACCTTCTGAATAATTTACGTGTCAACGTTGAACAGTTAATTTTATAAAATATTTAAGGTATTCGAATAAAAACTGGTAGTTCACAAATAAGGATTTCCAGTTTTGTTCGTTTTCCCAACGATTATGAGCCCTGACGGTATCCGATTTTGCAGGAATAAAGGGATTCTTTCCCATTTGTAATCGGTCTCGAGTGGATTTTGGAGTCCAATATTTCGAACTTTTCCGTTATCGAAAATGTCAATTAGGATTTATAACGAATAACTTGTTGTCATAAGTGGCTTTCAGAGCTTTGGAGAATCTGCTTTCGAGCAATATTCTGATATCAACGAACAAAAGGGATTGAACCGGAATCCTCTCGATTAAATTAGACGCATTTTCCGCTTGATACTTGACAAAAAACACACAGATTCCTCAACGAAAATTTTGTAAATTTTTGCTATTTCTGCAGTATAATCGCCCAATACAATATAATTCAGTTCTAATGGAAAAAGTTAATTAAAGCTGACTGCCGGTTTTATTCAGGGGGTATTTTTGGCAATCGCGGGGTAAGGTTTATTTAATTTAATACAGGAAATTAAATCTTTTCAAATACATTCCCTCCTGGGAAACGATTTGCCAAAAATCGAGCAACCAGCTTCGGTTTTTTATTGGTTGAAATCAGACAAGACGTTTTCAATTACCGACGTTTTTCACATAAAAAATTCATATTGTGTTTCAGTAACGTTTCTGGTAAAATGAGAGCTTTAACTAAATTCGACAAATTTGTCATAAAGATTCAACTCCTTGCTATTTTTTCTGATTTTTTGAATGTTCAGCATTTTCCAAATCCAGTTTCTACATTAGGAAAGTCACACTTAGTCACTTCTGCCTTATTTGTTCTTTTAGGTTGTTGGGGTGTTTCTCTTGGTTTCATCACGATTTTATCACGAGAGATCCTTTACAAATGTATCCAGTTTTCTAAACGTATATATGGCAAGTATTGGCATAAGTATGTGATCTGATTCGACTATCCTGTAAAATTATTGGCTAAAAATTCGCAAATCATTTCAAAACTTAAATTTCACAGTCCAAATCGAGAGGACGCAATTATTGCGACTCATGTGTGTGAGTGTCGGATATTTTTAGATGCTGATTATGCACCCGAAAAAAAATGATGGGAAAAATATTAGAAGCCGTTAGTGTTAACGTGTTTGCGACCCGACATCGATACGGCGTCACGACAAAAATATGTCTAATTTTAGAGGGTTTCGAGTAGAAATAGAACGTATATATCCTGAAAGGCCTCCTTGAATATCATGTTACTCCTGCATGTTTTTTACTTCAATGATAATAAACTTACCGATCGGCCTGGAATTACATCGATATGCCTCGTTTGATTGTGCTCCTGCAAAGAAAAATATGCTTTAGATTTTAAGGGAATCTTCAAATGGTGGTTTTTGTTAAATAAAATCGACCAGGGCTTAAAAATTGAGTAGATTTTTCAGCTTTGTTGAATGACCTTCACCTGGACCCTATAAATTAAATAGATCTGCGCCATTGAGCGACCTTTCCTTTCGCTTCCAAAGGAAAATTCGCCTTTTATACAGGCTGGACTTTTCCGGCTTCTTTTATATTATATAGGTATTTGGTCGAGACCGATATATTATTTGTGCGAGTCGCCATACGTTCTTAGAATAGCGATTTGTAGTCGTGCATTAATCAAACGTAAAAGCAGGAAAGCGAAACCAGATACGACGTATCTGCCAATCAAATATAAAAACAATCCCTTGCTCCCGTATATTGGTTCTCATTTCATGTTTTCCTCTTGGATTCGATCAACTCGAATCCCAGCAGGTTGATCAAAATCAAGGTGGATCAAAAAATTAATTGATTAAGACACTTTTCTACTGCCTACTTTAAGTTGACACTTTTCTCCTAAGAACACTGGATTTTAATATGATTCTTTTGTGGTAAATTTCTTTATTTATTAGTAACCTTTGCAAATAACTGAAATTTTTTTCGACACATAAAAAGTGATTCTGCATGAATATTCACCTAAAAGAACAAATGTTTCATTAAAAAAGCAAACATTTAAATCGCCATCCACTTAATAATCTGCAATGTTAAAAACGTGGCAACCGAAATTAAACACGGTCAAGTTATTTGATTTCTCGAAACCTTTCCAGGCTCTAATTAATCGTCTGTGTCTTGCACGGATAGCAGTTGCGGTTTTCGTCTCGTAATCGTTCGGGCTTTTTTTAATATCTGAACGGTAATCTTAATTCGATTTGATCTTTCCAGTCGAATAAATTACTGCAAATCGAAGAAATTTTGCGATTTTTTGCGCCCAGCTGAGTTTATTTGTTTTCTGAATCGGGACGGACTTTTTGTCGGGCCGGTTCCCAATCGATAATTCGGAACTTTCTCGTTCCTTTCTCTCGTTTTTTTCGCATACAGAACTGTCACACATCAATATCTCGGGTCACAATGGTAGAAAATTGAAGTTTGCAGCCATTCGGTTCAAATATATGGATTTTTAAGAAACCACTATCACAAACAATCGTTTTAATAGTAAGTAGTAAATTTATGTTTATCCCCGCTGTCGGGCCCCATTGTGTAGTATCCATATACGTGCTGTTATCATATGGGGCGTTGTTTTTTCTAAACAAATCCAAACAAAACGACAACAAAAAAATGCTCTTTTGTGTCGGAATAGAATTTTTAGAACACGCGGCCCTCTTTCAATAACATCACCACACCGTGTTTGTTTTCCTTTAATAAGTTTGAATAAAGCCGCCGCTGGTATTTCCTTGTTCAGGGGAGCGAATATATATTTTCTCAGACAACAACCTTTAAATTATTGTGTTGGCATAACCGTACCTTTCGGTAAAATTGAAACAAATACGACCGCTCCTCCTTTAACTATATCCAGCTCGGAAACGAAGTTTATCTCCGATTGTTTAATATTTCAGCTGCGTTTCTTCTTCAATCAGTTCCAGTATGCGTAATAACGAAAAGTTGGCATTGATATGGAAGGAGCCGAATTAGTTTTTCTACAAGAAAGTCTGTTGTTCCGCTGTGTTGAACAAGTGGTTGTTACTAATTGAAACCGAACCATCAAGCAACTTTGATCTGAAAATTGGAAAAAGTAGGTGAATTTGTCGTGCTTTTAGGCAATTGTCAAAAAGACTTTCTTCCTGAAGTTTTGCAAATATGAATGGTTTGAATCGTCAGAGTGAAACCACGTCTGAAGGGGCAGGTCGCTCGCCAGGAATAAATTATTTTCCACGAAACCTGCAAGCCTGAAAAAATACCCAGTTTAAAAGCAACTTGGCTTCATTAAGAGCCAAGTTTTAACTATAGATTTTAAGTTAAAGACTGGATTTTGGGCGTTTGTCACTTCGCAACAGAAATGAATTTGCGATAAAATGCTGTCCATTGTTCAGATTTTCATTTACAAAGTGGTAGACAGTCCTGCAACAAAATTGCCAGAGTCCCATTTGGCCAGTCCCTAATTTTTCTTATTTAGTAACAAAGAGGAATAACGAAGTTTCCCAAATCACTGGCAATACCACAAAGGTAAAGAATGAAAAATCCCGAGGCAAATCTATCGAGTTTCGGCATATTTTAGCTAGAGAGCTTAAAGCTGGTCGGAACACATTTTAGCAAAGATAGATAGATAGAAGGCCTTTCAAGAGCCCCGCTTACATGAAAAATGGCTTTTCTAGTTTCGGCAGAGCATAAATCGATTGATTCGTCTTTAGGTTGGTCGACCGTTCTTTTTCTCCAGCTTTGATGGATGTTTTTGTGTTGAACTGAGAATCGCCTAAATTATTCTTAAATAAGACGTCGCCGTCGGAAACGCTAAAATGTGTTAAATCTATACCATCTATACAAAGCAGTTAAACACTCCTTTACTGATATTGTGGGAAATTAATCAAAACTTTCTGGAATTTAAACGAAAAAGCAGCCTTACTTGCGTAAAGCACACACACACATTCAATAAACGTGCTGAAAAAAAACCTTCCAATACAAATCCGAACAGAACTTTTCTACCGAATCCATTGAATTATGCATACCCATGGACCTTAGACATTTACATACCTTTATAACCCTTGTAATATTTTATTTATCGGTTGTAACAAAGAACACGTCACAAAAAAGGGACTACATTAAAGTTAAACCGTCCCCTCTTTTTGTTAGCTTTCCTATTCCAATGTTTTTCGGTCAAAACCATCCCTTCCGGGATACGCGCAGAAAAAATTACGAATGTCTTTTAGGGAAAACGCATTGCTACTGCGTGAATGCGGAATTAAAAAAATGTGGAAAGTTTTATTCCTTCTAATCTAGTTATAAGTCAATAGGAAAGGTTTTTTGAATCAAATTTTCCTAATGAAATTGAATCTTGAAAAAATGGCATCACAAATCCAACATCCTGCAATACTAGTGTCAGTTGCAAGCTAGCAAATGGTGAAATTAGGTCAAAAATAGCAATTTTTCCTTCTTAACGCCATGATTTGTTGTTGTATCTGGCAACGATAAACACCCCCTGATTCGGAGAAATGTTGCACATAAAAGTTAATTTTTGATCTGCATCCGAATTATCCTGCGCGTTAGCGGGGAAAATCATGCCGACGTAATCGGATTTTCTGCTCAGACTACCGATTTTGACACGATGAAGTTATTTTTCAGCGTTGGTCATTTTTCCTGCCTTGATTCACTATTTGAACATTAGTTTGTCAGTTGAAAATAAACACTGAATACTAATCGGTTTGTGATAATATTACTCGCATGTTCAAGAAAATTTTTGTTGCAAAAACTTGCATTATATTTAATCGATACCACCTCTAGTTTAGCTGATGATATGGCCGTCATCACTCAAAAATGCGCAACTATCCCCTCAATTCGACTCAACAAATTTTAGCTACCACAAGCCGAAAATGCAACATCTTGACATCATTTAGACTAGACGTATCACATTGAACAGTTTCTCATTTGAAAGATGTAAGCGAAGTTTGATCTTATTTGCAAACGAAAATAGCTAGCTAATAAAATGCTTGGTGAGCTTGAGTGGCCTGCATAAGCGCCTGACTTGAGCCCGCTGGACTTTTGTGCGTGGGCTAATTTAAAACAATCACTCGATGTTATGCAAATTCGTTGCATTAGAAGGACAAATATTCAATATAGTATGGGCCATTCACGTGTTTTGGGTCAGCTGGCATGTGTTAATGCATATGCTGGGACTTTTGAATATTTTCCTTAATCAGGTAAGTCAAGTGGCAAGTGATGTTAAATGTTCCGCAAACAAAAACTTTTGCGTAAATGGCAATGGCAATTTTTCAATTAATCGAAAGAGTTGGACAGTAAATCTGTCTTATTCTATATGGAACAATGAACTGAATGTCTTAGAATTACATCATAGGCGACATTTTCTGATAATTTCGAGATGTACAAACCACGGAAGTAAAATCCAAGAAGGAATTTCATATCGGGACATCGTCCGCCCCCCGAACGACTTTCACGACGTCAAACTAAGTATCCATATTTTATCCGCCCTTAAAATTATTTCCACATATATTTCCGGGGCCCTGACGTATCACCGGGCAAACAAATCTGATGAAATTCCTCACAAACCGATGGAATGTGACCGTGGAAATTTTCCTCTCCAGCATCAAGTAAATGCGGCCCCGGGGGATGATTTAGTGCGTTCCAGACGAATTAATTTCGGATGATAAATTTTTTTTAGAGCAAGGTAGATGGGAACGGACTAAAAATAGGTTAGGACTACTTTGCTTTCATTTATCATCCGGCTCGTGGACAATTCATTTTGACTATGTTGCGTCCAGAAAATCTATAAATGCTTGCATCCCATATTCATGGCTGCTACTAACTGAAAAGGATCATAGATTTACTTATATAAACAGCTGTAAAATGATTGTATAATCTTCAATCCAGATCATTTTACTTAAGAGGAAATTAATTGAAAACAGTGGGGACAAACCAAACCGAACGAAGTTGAATATTTCGGGATGGTTCACCCTGTAAGTCGGTACTGTTTGTTATGTGCATATAAAGTTTAATAACCTCCACCATTAGCTGAGGTAGGCACGTTAAAAACAGTGTAAACAGAAAAAGATGGTAAACATCTTAAAGGAAGTACTAACTAGTTTTTCATGCGAGTTGGGTACTTAAGTTGTCATCTTCAAGTCGACCGAGTACCGTTAATCGAAATTAAAAATTAGCCTCGACCAACTATAGATGTGCATTCGATATAAACGGAGTATGGCCGACTACAGTACCAATAGGCAATTGATATTATTGGCCAAGAAATATCACGGTTTAATGTGGTTGTTCGGTAAGTTAACCAGCTTGTGTTGGATTTGTTTGCCAATGTTTTGCAATTAGAGGTTTCGTTAGAAATATTGCTTAGGCAATTAGCGGCTCACTATGAATATTCCTCGCTTTGGGTGGTGATAAACATTAACAAAGCCCGATTTACCTATGGTTTAAATATTAAATTACTTATGCAAACAATGTATTTCCATTTATTTAAAGAGACAAACTCATTGAATCTTATGCAGTTTTCCATAGCATACATTGACAAAATATTATTCAGTACACTATTACCAAACAACCTAAAACAAAGCTTTACGAAGATGCCAGAAAGAAAATGCTTGATTCGTTTCTGGGCTCGAGCTAGAACATGGGTTAAACAAGATCAGTGGATTCAGCTTTAGGTGATTTGGAAGTTAATTGTTGCGCCCCAGGAGTTGGTGCAAACTTTGTTCGCTTTTAGTTGTACAAAGTGGCGCATTTGATACAGTATTCCGAAATATACACGGTTTAGAATTATCGCTTTGGCATGTTGGTGGTATAAAACAGCTAAAACAATCGATAAAATATTAGAGACGTTTCATTAAAAAGGTATTCGATTAACGGCTCATCATTAGGCGGAACTAGAAACCTGAAACTTGTTTTCCGGAAACATATTTCTGAATTAACATATTCGAAAGATCGATGCCTAATCATTATCAAAATCCATTTTTTATATCATCATATCATATCATCCTTGAAAGTTGCTGTTACTTGGTTCTTTGTCGAATTTTTTCCCCTTTTCAAGAACATCTGCAATTGATTTCAGTAACACTGAAGACATTGAGCGATTCATGCAGAACTAAGAAGCTGAACGCCATTTCACATCAGTTAATGGCGGTAAATTAATTTAACGAGTTCAATTCAACGTGCGAAATATTTTCGGATTCTTCAAGTCGCCTTCAATAAAACCCGACATCCCGGCGGTTTTCTCCATTTCCCACAGCATTCAGCAATTACTAAACAATTTTAATTTTTTAAAAGCCTTCCACTAATTTGTTCAACGTCGAATGCGAAGAATTTCCTGATTGTTTCACCGTTTAGCGAACTAATCGCGTTTGAAATAAGAATTTATTCGCTGTTTGATCGAATTGAAATTTCTTGAATGTCTCCTCTAAAATACAGTTATACAAATTTAAATTCTTTGGTAGTGGAAGATGGGAAAATTGCGATGTGACCGAAGGAACTCGAGTAAAATATAGAAAAATTAACCTCTATTAAGTGCAGTTTGCCATGCAAGCCTGCTTAGGTATTTATTAACGTTGAAAAAAACAATCTAAGATCCTAAAATTGTCGAAAACGAACGTGTGTTGGTTTGCGAAAATTAAATGGGGCAAATTGACTTTTTTTTAGATAGTGATACTCAATTTTCTGGTCAACATCAGCGCAGCAGTTTTCTACCTTTGAACCAATGGAAAATTAAATTTTCAATGTGTGCAATTTTTTGCCCCGTTTTCAGGGTATTTTTTAATCTGGCCATGCATATACCAAGTAGGACACAGTTTAATTTTGCCCTAGTTTCGAAAGTAGGTTTGATGTCAACCAGCCAGCGAGTGATTGCGGGTGAAACAGCGCTTTGGTTATATTAAAAAGTTTTCATTAAAACTAATCAACTTTGGACTGGGGAAGAACAGCCAAAAAATACTCGACTGAACTACGGTAAAACAGGCAAAGCGACGAACCGCCCTTGTAATTGAACGCTCAGAATCCGGTGTCTTAAAAGTATCCAAAACAAAAGTTCCGTTTTTATCATAACCGTTTTGTGCGTGATGTATGAACGATATTTCCTCTGAGGACAATAACATCTTTCGAGCAGAGCGGAAGTTTTTTCCTTTAGACTTGAGCGATTTTTTTTCTTTTCAAATACACGAGGATAAAAGCGAGCTTTGAGTGCTCTGCTTGCGGTGAATGGCCCGATGTATTTATGTATTATAAATAGCCTGTATGAATATGGCATTTTGGAGGTAAATCATTCAAAATTCCTCGAGTTAGCAGCAGAGTTAAGTTTCGCGGCCACTGCTTGACATTGGTCATTTTTTTAGTGCTTTCGGACTGTCGCAGAAAAGAATTTCTTACTGGCGTTTCGAAAGCAGAAGTGAAGATGCCACTCGTGCTTGCAAAACGCCGAGAAAAAATAAATTTCCATGTCGACTTGAAAGCCTGAAAACTCACCAATTAGTTATGCCCGCGCCATAAATGGAAACTACTAAGGCAGCAACCGAATCCTATATGTTCGGTTTATAAAGTCAATTGCCCATTACTCAAAAACATTGAAAAAATTGGTTCTTAAAACGGGAATTTTTGTTGCAAAATCCATAATTAGTTGCAATTAATTTTCAGGCATTTGCGACGAAACAGGATGCATGAGCATAGAAATATATCAATAGTCTTCTAACCAATAAATGGCTACACCCACGTTACTACAAACTTGGAAGCAATTAGAACCTCAGGTACTAATTGGCCAGCATTGTCCAACTAATGAATTCTCAGAGTGGACTAGACAATCAAGAGCGGGATGAAATCCAGTAAATGGACAGCAGCAGCATCAGCAGCAGAGAGTTTGAAATTTCGCATAAATTAATACGCCCACCGCGGAAAATATTTACACACTTTCGCAAAATATCGTTATACGATGGGCCACATTAATCAATGCTGAGAGCAAAACACGTCGAAATGCGTCTATAAATCAAAAACAAAGCAACAGAAGGCCGAAACAAAAGGGTTGAAAACGGGGGCCAAACACTTTACCCCAGAGCCGCGCCTTTCCAACGAAGAGAAAACAATAATTGATCGCATGCGTGTCGCACATTTTCCACCCGCTCTTGAGCTACGTTTAATGACTAGGGATTTTCAGTTTAATCTATATACTCACTTGGTTTTCCCTTAAGGGTGACGGGTTTCGTCGCAGTGCTTGAATCTTTAAGCCTGACTAGTGAGGGAAAATTAATTACTAGTTTTCTAATTCGCAATTTTACACCCTTGAAAGTACCCAAACAACATGCAAATTCAATGAAACAAATAAAATGTACCAAAGTACATACTGTCCAGCACTAATTCTCCTGCTTTTTGAGGAGACACCACTCCAGTTATCAATTTCATCCTGTACCTTCCAGGGTGGAAAGTTAATGTGCCTTCCTCCGGTACAGTCCTCAAAACTTTTTCGGCAGCTCTTGATCCTTCTGGTTAGTGTGACTTTAAGCACATTTGTGTAAATAATGTTGTTTTGTCCGGAGTATCCGAAACTGGCCCTTTCGCAACAAAGCGTTTGATTTTCGAACTGGAGTTTGAACTCGAAGTGTAGTAATAACTTCAACTAACAATGAGTTCCTCTCTTGAGAGCACTGTGGTTTCGTTATTGCCAATTCTTCAACTTATTCATTCAGTGTAATTTGTCGCTTGATCTGATTTGCTTGTGCCTTTGTCCTCTTTTTCCTCAACGGGACTATTTGGTGTCTACAGTACTTCAGCCACTTTTTCAGTGGTCAAATTCTTCGCTAGTTCAAGAGCAGAATGAAAGTCAGCTTATACAAAGATGGAAGAAAACTACTCAATTTTTCGGGCGGAAATCGTTTAATTCACTAAAAACATATTCAGTTTGACCTCAGCAACTTTTCGCACACTTTTTCCTGGATCCTCAGAACGAAACAATAGCGCATTTTACGCATCTAGGATTTTCACGGCTACATTGCTCGTCTCGAAAACACGCCGCATCTTCTTCCAAAATTACAGATTATTTCGCTTTTGCTCTCCGGCCAAATATTGGCCTTGTTGAAAGTCGAATCTGTTTGCACAAAAATCTCTGAATTTTTTATGAGTTTCATTGGCTTTCTCCAACTGGCACTTGTCCTTATCGTTTTGCCCTCGTTTAAGAATCGACTGAAACTCTGCAGCCTTAAAGGCGAGAAAAGATTGCAGAACATCTGCTATTAAACCATAATCAAATATCCACGTATTTACTTTATATGAAACCTTATTTTCGATGAAATATTTGAACTTGATTTATTTTTACACATTTGAGAAAGTCAATTAATCAATTTCTCGCAGTTTTGCAAAGCGCATTAAAACTCAATTAATCACCCCGGCTTGGAATCGTTCCATATTGTTAAAAATAACTACTGCAACAAAGAAGAACGTGCTTTAGGGTAACATCTAGTCGAACATTTCAAATTTATATTACCTACAAAATCTGAACTAGACTTTTTATTATTCCACCCTTAAGAGTCGAACGGTTCTGAAAATAATTAAGCATAATCGGTGTTTTCGAAGTAAAAACGAAACGGTTTCTGATCTACAGATTACAAGGTAACACCAGGAGTAATTTTGGGAGAAGTTTTGCGTTCAGTTACGACCGGGCTGTAATTAGGAAATAATTGTTTTTCAGTGGTTTAGGCGACATTGCGTGTGCATGTTTTCCGAAAGTTACAAAACACTTTTATAACGAAAACAACACCTTAATGGATCAAACAGGAAGAACTGCTGCCTGTGCCTTGCCCCAACATTTAATAGTGTTTTGCGTATATATTATTTTAAATTTATTTTATATTTAGTCTCAACCCACTCCAAAATCTGAAAGAAGATAAAGATATTTTGTGGCCAGTTAACAAAATATTCGATTGTCTTCAAAGTAAGTTCTTTTAACAGTTATTTGGACAATTCATTAGAGTGTGTGTGGCTGATAGATCGATCTGACAAGTTTACGAGTTGACTCCGGAAAAATACAAATATTTTTGCCTCCTACAGCCCATCGAGATGGGCCATTAAAGATGGAAAAAATGCAAAAATTCCGGTTCTACCACTATAAAAATTAAGTGGTTATAACTTGGACAAAGTAATGTTTCGAATCTTCGGATTTCGCATGTGGGCGTGCACAGTTAGGTATTTCAGGTTTGTACAACTGCCGTAAATCCGATATACAGTTGTGAAGGCTTTTAAACATCGGCCAATACTTTGTAATGATCGATTTTAAGACGGAATTTTTAATGTTTTCTCAAATTTATGGTCAAGTTAAGCATATATTGCTACTTTGTACAGTTGTTACATTTTAACAGTCAGTATTTACCAGCAAAACGTATTGCGGATTGGATGTCTGAAAAATGTTTGTTGACGCCCTACCGCCGTGAATTAAATCGGATAGCGAAATTAATCAAAATTTTTCGTTTTCAAAGTTTGACCTAAAAATCGCGAGGACACATTTTCCGCTCCAAATAAAACGCTGATGTTTTACCATCCAAATAAGCCTCGCGAAGGAATGTGGGAAGGTAAACCGAGACCCGAAAAGAAAAATGTGCGCCGCTTTCCTTGCAATGCTTCCACTTATTAAATTTAATATCAGTCAGTGGTCCTTGGCTCGGAATCTCGCTGGAAATATGGAAATTCTGCAGAGCGAAACAGGACGAGAAATTCATCTACAGCACATCTTTTATACGTTCTCAAAGCCACTGGGCTCTGATGTTCAAAGATCCGGGATTTTTTTGTCAATTTCCTGGCATTAACAAATCAACTCGAATCGAGCCAAATTCTTGTTAAGAGGTATCCACAAAATGAGGAATATTTGCTTTAGCAAGCTCCTGGAACAGCTATTAATAATCCAGGAGCCAATTTGGAGCTAATTTCCTTTCGTGGGCAGTCGGCGTGTTGGTTATGTGAATTTCTCGTCCGACCATCGGAGATATTACGTGGACTGAAATTGAATAATTTTCATCGGAGCAGGAAAATCACTGTTCGGAGTCAAGGAATAACATTGAGAAAATATTTGAGCTAATAAAAGCGTTTGAGGCTACGACAGGTTGAGAGGCATAGAGGTTTGTCTAGGGCTGTTCACTCAGTCAAAGGCCTCGGTTAGATCTAATCCAACAAAGCGGCAAATATTAGTGTACACGGCTAATCAGATAAGTTGTTTGTGTAAATTAAATATACCAAATACATCGAGTACGATCTCGTGCGGGAAATCCAAATGGACGCGATTTATGTATCCGAAACATCGTCCATTCCCGAATTAGTAGCGGCCATAATTAATATTTAGTGCCATAAATGATCATTCGTGTTTGCTTTGCTTTAAATGTGAACGATAAATAAAGATATTTAATTAAAATCCCCGTGTATTGACTATGGAATTTAATCAAGATCGCGCAATGTTATTTTTCATTATCCTAATCGGGCTCTTTGATTGATGAAAATTGCTAAATTTCGTTCGGAATTAAATAATTCGGTTTTGCTTATTATGTTTACATTTGCTGCTAATTGATATCGAGGAACAAATATCCAGTATGAGTTTTCACTCTAAAGCGACTGAAGCTGGTGAGGTTTTTAGGGTTGATTGGGCTGTTGAGAAAAATTATTTTTACCTGGCGTTTCACAAGCACAACGCTCTGAAGATGTAAGCAAAAGCGCGATGAGCAGTTTTTTGCAATTTTTTTGGTGAGTTCACAAGAGTTAACCTGGTTTAGAAGTTATGAAAGGTCGTATCACAATTGATGTTGCCGAGCAATATAAAAGTCTAGGGTTTTTGAAATAGGAAGATTTTCAAAAGGATTTGATGCCAAATAATGCCAGAAGAAAATTCTGAAGGTTTAATAACCAGCGAATCATGTTGTCATTCATCTACATTATTGTTTTTTATGTTTGAATATAAGCTTGCTTCATGCAACAGTTGTTCTCATATCTCTGAAATCTCAATTCTTTTTTATTTCGACTTTGACTAACTTTAAATATCTTCAGGCATAAAAGGATACGCTAGAGCCGCAAATTGAGAATTATGAATGTACAGAAATACACATTTCATCCATGAATCAAGCAAAAAACCCATAATTATCACAAGTCACAAAGCTTTTTCGTGAGCACGATTATAACTGAAAATCATTGTCGAATTTTTTAGATTTTAAGCCCACAAAAATACCTTTCGAAAGCCTGTGCAAAGTGATGCAAACCAAACTGAGCATACAAGCATTCCACGCATAGGCGCTTTTCGATTTGGCTTTGATATTTTAGTTTTCGAGTTAAACGGTATGCTAATAACAAAAGTTATAGCGACAATTTCGCCAAACTGTACCGTTCCGTTAAATTGGAACTATTTCCAGCTTTGTAGCTGGCCGATTTGAACTGCTTTATAGATTTTGTTCGGCAAAGTTCCCATAAACAATTCCAGTTTAGTTGTGTGTCGCTTTAACAAAACTAAGTTTGCTGTTTCAAAGAGATCAATGTGTGCTCCGGGTGCAGCTCGTGTGAAAACTAGCTGCGGCAAATACTTGATATTTAATGCGGGCATAGGATTAGCAAATACCAACTAGCCGGGTCATAAGCCAGATTAGTTGTTTAAATATTAAAGGGTAGGATCTGGAAAAAAGTACGGCAAATCACGCAACCGGCCAATTCTTCGATGAAACCGAGCACAAATTTAAAAATCGATATCGCATTAGGAAAAACATTAGGTGCCATTATCCTAAGCGCACTACGTTTCAATTATTCAGCATTCGTGCCTTCTCACAAAGTACCCAGATGTTAACAATATTGTTTATGTAAATTCCGTTCAATTTTACAAAGCTTAGACCAATTTGGCTTTTGCCGTACCATCAAAGAAATTCAGTTGTCGATTGATGCGAATTGATTTCATGAATTTTTAAGAAATCATTGGAATATGGCAAGCAGTGCTCGACAAAGTGCATTTATCCAGCTTTCAATAAACCAAGAAAAAATCGAATATAAAATATGTGGAAAATTGCAGAGTGTATATTTAGGGACGTGACATCTGGTAAAACTAGCGCTGCTCGTGATAAATGAGGACTGAAACAGCCCAGACAGATATGGAATGGCTTTGAATGTGACGATTATAAATACATTAGGCCGCTGTATTTCAATAAATTGGAGAGAAATGTCAAAAAGTACTGTGGGGAAATGACGACGTAAGTAATTAGAAGAGTTAGCGATCAGCAAATTTTGATTTTGTTACTACTGCTAACCAAAAGCCTGAAAATTGAATTGGATTTGCTTTGTCGGGTAAATTGCCCAATGCATACATAAGGAACATATTTGGTTAAAATTGATAAGCAATATTTAGCAACAATCTATTAAGAACCAATTTAAGGAAAGAAACTGTGATGTAACTGACATACAAAAAGCGGAAAACTACCAGCATACTGCTAGGAAACCAAAAAAAAATTCGCGATTGAACCAAACCGACATGACTATCAAATCAACAAACCAAAAAAATGAACAGAACATTCCCATCAAAGAAGAAGAAATGAAAACAACATAGAACACACTCAAATAAATCAGGTTCTATAAAGCCTATGTACGATGGAATGAACATTTTCAGATATTCTGACGACACCATCCTAAAAGTAGGTACAGAAGGAATGTGAACTTAGAGACTGAGTCTCAATTATCATATTAGCAGCGCACGCTAGAAAGGACAAATACATTCTATTGACCATAAAGAAGAGAAAAATGCAGTCCCTAGTTTAGAAGCCTGAGGCATTTGAACAGTTGCTCGGGAACTAAATTGCATATTCAAACCTTGATGATTGACAACCTTCGAAACAAAGTCAACACTCGAAGAAGATAAGTGAGACATCTGATCGGGAATCTATTAGTTGTAAGCTTGATTCAGCCGCCCACTTTTCCAAGCCAGGCTAATTCTATTAAAAACTGCTTACTCCATATGACGCAAACAAATTTCGGACCTTTTTAATAGTGGTAATTTGGAAAGAAACATGAACGGTTGCTTATCATCGGCCATTTAATTAATTTAATGGACCCAATCTCTATGTAATTAAATGGTGGAATAAAAGTGAGGGAAAACACACAGCGCCCAATTCCAAATTGCCATGACTGGGCAGTTGCTTTGTTCTGTGGCCATTCAAATAGCGGATTTTTTTCCAATATTCCTTGTTTTACATTAGGCATCATATTTGCTAACAAAATTTACTTGAATTTTGGCTCATAATTGCCATCGTTCCGAACTTCAACATGTTTAATCCGGAACTTTGAGCACCAAAAAGTTTATTTCTCGGGATCGTTTCGAAAGCGCGCATACACCCTAGTTATAACTTTCTATATCTCGTTTACTCCGGGATATTTTGTGACAGGACACAATTAAAATTTGCCGCTGTTTAATAAATGCTACTGACGGATGGAGGAGGAGATTTTTCAAACCGAGAAGGCGTTTTGAAAAATACCGCAGTTCCAAACAAAAATAAATGTACGCTTCATTCTAGTGGGTATTTCATACAAAAGTTGACTTGGAAAATAATCGATTTATTATTCACTGATCACGACATGAAGCGCTGCTGTTCTAAGCAACTGTTGATATTTCTAGCTTTTTTGCGGCTTAATGTTTGCGCTTTCAGTAATAGACATTTGAAGAGTTCCTCGGTTTCAGAAGTATTTATACAACCAGTTTCAGTTATTTTCACTTAGATTATGTTCCATTGGAATCGCCCGAAAATTGGTTTTTTTTATGAGATCGCAACGTACTTTGGCAACATATGAAAAATGAAGTTTTATTATTATTTTATTTATGGCATGAAACGCCACAGCTCTCCGCAGAAGATGATCTTTCTAGCTTTTTAACGGCTTAAAGTTTGCGCCTTTAATAAAAAAAAATAAAAATTCTGGTTCCAGAAGCTTTTCTACGAATAGTTTGAGTTATTTTCATTAAAACTATGTTGCTTTATTCAAGTGCCCAAAAATTGTTATTTTGTGAGGATAGGAAGTGAGAAAGGGAAATCTCTGTACGGCTAAAATGCAAAAATCCAAAGAAAATTTAAACAAAAATGTTAAGTTTGTTTAAAGCTGCAACTCTTCCTTCGGGCGTTCCAGAAAAGTTCCAAATTTAGAAAATTTGAAAAAAGAAACGTAGCATTGTTTGCAAATGTTAAAATTAATTTTAATGTCCGCTTCAAATCTTTTGAAAGCACTGCGAAGTTTCTTCAACTAAACTGCTCAGAAAAATAATTGTTAAACCGCCAAATTTGTCCTAAACTTGGTACTGGATTGCTACGACCGATTTAATTTATATTTGCAGCCTTTCTAGTCCAATTCCTCATCGGTCTATTGAACAAATGGACTTGTTTTCGAAATTCAGGACCAAAATCATAAAGATGTTCCTCATCATTCCAAGCGATTTAAAAAATTTTCTCTTTTTTCGGCAGGGTGAGGTCAAAAGGAAACATTTTTGGTCTTTCAGTGCAAACATGTTTTCTGTTGCACCGATTTTCAAAATTTCGAACTCATGTTGAAACGAAAACTTACTACTTACTTACTTAGTCGACTAAAGACAACAATTTGGTGTACAGGGTTGCTTGAATAAACTTGGATTTTCTTACTGTTTAAAAGTAAAGTGCACCTCCATTGAATGTCGGCCAGAACCCAAGACTTCGGGGGTAGCTCTGATTTAGATCACTTTTAATGCAACCCTGTATATTAAATTTTCATCTTGACTCGACTGTTAAATTTTTGTCGTCAACATGAGGTTGATATTTTGAAAATCGGTACATGAGCAGAAATGTTGTCGGCCATAACTAAAAAGCTGATTTTTTGAGCTCACCCTGTAAATATAATTAGTGGAAAAATTAATCTTTAAAATCTTTATTTCAAATTTCAAAAACATATTTAAGATATAAGATACGTATTTATGCCTTTGCTGTGAAATTGAAAAACAAATTTTTTTTGGTCAACTGCGAGCACGTCAAACTTTCTGAAAGTTGGCCTTGTTTCATTTTCCCCCCGTATGAAGTTTCTCTGAATCACTATACTTTTGTAAAAAGAAAAATTGACAAAAATAATCGAATTAGACAATGCTTCAAACAGAAATGAAATCGCTTACAGCAATAAGAATTTACCCTGTTCCAAAGTTAACGCAAATTTGGCTCTGTAACATTTAATTTGTTGAGGAGTTTATTTTTCCCGTTGCACTTTCAAAGTTAAAAAAATGCAGTAATTGCTGGCAGAAGTCATTGCACATTCTCGAGACTCAAAGAATAACGAGAATTGAAATAAATCTAAAACATTTTTCATAATTGAATAGGGTATGACACACATTTCGTTTTTTTTTAAATTTTCAGTGTTTTTTATCAGATTGTGATGGTGACTTTCCCTAAAAAAAACAATAGATTCAATTCATCATATTCATTAAAGCAAATACTGACTTGCCTAAAACAAATTTCGATAATTTGTGCCAAGTTTCTCTCGCCACTCGCCAAAATTATTGACTTTTTTATATGTTTTTTTTTTTAGTTTTGAACTTTTATTGCTATCCAAGTTTAAAAATTTGGCAAAAAAATGCGAAGGTGCCAATTTGCTTAGAATCAAACTCCTCGATTCGCCGCATGATTTTTCTAATTCAGCTGTTAAATGTATGTGGGATAATTGCCTTTACTTAAATAACCTGTAAAATTTTGTGAAAAATAAGCTCCTGGTAAACTGCTGGTGAATACTCACAGGAACAATTTCAAAAATCACCAACAGGAAAATATCCTTGATTAGGCCACAACACAATCACAGAATTTCCTTTTCCAGCACACACAATTCCAACCAGTAAGAGTATCACAGGGGTTTGTTAGAACAGGACAACTAATCCTCAACAATTTCTATGCATTTGTTGAAGTTTTACAATTTATCGAGAATCGCACACGTGCGGAAATTTCGAAAAGCCGCAGTACTTTTTCACACAAACGCGGAAATAACGTCGCGCTGAAAAAAACAACGGCGTCGCTGGTCGCTGAAGACCCGTCCAACGAATCGGCTCGGCGTCGACTGAAGCGGCGCTGAAAACAGCAAATGCGTTTCACACGAACGACAGCAACCGACTGAAGACTCGATCCCGGTATTGAAGCTGAAACAGAGACGGAAAGATGCGGATCTTCGAAGAAAAGCGAGACGCAACATGTCCAGGGTAATTATACCAGAATCAGAAACAACAGTCTTGTTCGGAGGATCAAGTAGCGCCATGCAGTATTAGCGACTCTACAAAGACGTTCCCGGATTAATTAGTGTAATCAGTGTCCCCGGTTTTTTTTCGCTCTGCAGCTCCAGCTTTTTGCGTTCCCTTAATATCCGTCTGCCCGGCATTCCCCACTATTAGGCCTCCATCCCGTTCGACTTAATTCATATTAATTCGGGCATATTCCACTAATTTTTATAAACCTCTTCCCGTTCCAAAGCAGAGATGGCTCAGGAAGGTCAAGGTTTTATATTTGACAATATCAACAAACGTTGTTCATAGACGCTTTAAAATAAAATCCCAGCGGACTTAAATCAGGTAAATTGGACGGCCTGAACAACTATCCACTATCTACCGGTTGCAGTATACTCTTCGACCCTCATTGACAGCAGATAAACAAGCAGCTCTATATTAAATCGATATTATTGATGACTTTCCTATTGACGGATCACTTGATGTGTTTCTATGTGAATTTGTTTTTCCGATTGAAGCATTCATGATTAAAGCAAGAAAGTTGTGAATTTTCTCACTGAACATGCAACAATCAACACATGATGCATGAAACGTATAAGAATTTCTGTCCGTACAAAAATAAAAGTGGTTTTCCAAATTTTACGTTTCGCTGCTTTAGTAAAGCCAGCATTTATTGAACTATTCTGAAGAGCATTGACTCATACGTTTCCATAAAATTATCTGTTTCTTTTTTATAGTTATTATTAATGTTATTTTATGCCCTTGTTTTCGTTAGTAGTATTGTTTGGTGCAAGTTTAGACATTTTATTTTTCTGCAAAAATATCAATTAAACGTGAAATTCAATTTTCAGAATGTAAAACATTAGTTGGGAAAAATCTTCATTCTTCTGCTTCGTTATTAACTTCCCGAATTTTATAGCAAGTGCTGGGGTTAACTTTGATCGTTAAAGTGTGTTATTTTCGTGGTGATATACCTGGAGTCAAATTAAGAATCTTTAAAAAACATTATGCAATGGTGTTGAAAATATGAGCAAAGTGAATTGCTTAAACATTTTTATTAACAGAAAATAACCCACACAAACAGCTAAAAATTGTATCGGTAAGCTGAAAAGATAACTTGGAAAAATTTACAGAATCTGCCAACGCTCGGCGAAAAATCATACCAATAATGTTAATATTCTTTCATACTTGATCAGTTTCCAATAATTCTAGTACGCGAGAATAAGAAGAGAACAAAAACAATCCTTGAATTCACTCTAAATGAGATTAAAACAAAATATTGCAACCAATGACAAAAAAATTACTAAATTGGCCATTAATTTTTAAACAACTAACAAATTATTGCGGCAAACTCTATTCACATTTAAATTTTAAAAAACAAACAATCAAAGCATGTTCTCAACATACAAACCTATAAACACACTTAAATTAAATTATTATCAAATTGCATTTCTCAAAAGTGGCACGAACTGGAGATTCGTGATGAAGACCGCGGGTTTCAAGCGCCTCTAATCATATCTGGCTGAAATCTAAAATTTCCCGTTAAGAGCAAAAGAGAAAATAAGTGGACCGAAGCCAAGCCGTGCAAAGTCCGTAATTTGTTGCAAGGACATAATTCAAGAAAACATTTATACCATTGAAAATAATCATTCCCGCACCGAGTAATTATTGGCTTTTTGTTGAACATACTGGCTGAGCTAAAGGGAATGATCAGGCTCTTGCAGCCGCAATTACATCCCAGCTTTCAACACTGTTTAAAAATATTCAATTCGATTGTGCCTGAAGTGATGTTGTTAAACATCCAAGACAATTTGGAGCGTGTTTCCACTTTCACGGAAAAAGCAACAATTCCATTCTCACTGATATCTTATGTGTGCAAAACCACACACAATGGATCAGCCACTTTAATTTAATTACACCATCGGCCGTAGTACAAGTAAAGAAGAATTGCGAAGAAAATGGTAAGTATGGTATTGCGGTGGTGGTAGAGATAAGTCGAGAGATTCTCACGATCAAAACTGTCATTGAAAATAATAATATGGTTTCACTTCGTTGAACTCAATTCCAGTTCTGCATTGGCTCGAATGTGGTGCATTTAGTTCTGTCGAATAAGTTTTTATTCAGATTAGTGTTAGTAGGAGATTTTCGGTTTTTCTTCAAATCCAGGTCATATAACCACGTGTTTGGAATATTTAATTAAACTCACATATTGTTTTTGTGACTATGTAAAATTTTGCCTTTTACACAACCATAAGTTTATTTAAAAATTAATTAACCATATAAATTGGTAGATTTTACTACGGGTTTGTATGTGGTCCCGTCAAAACTTTTTTATGGCGTATCTTCGGGAGCTCGATAAAATTCTTCGTCTAGGATTTCACTCATTAGAGCCGTTTTATTTCTGGTGATTATTAAATGTCGACCATAACGATCAGCGGAGTCGGAACAAAATTTAAGATAAATAATGGATTATTTAATAGGCGGCGTTTGGAATTTTTGCCTCAACTTCCCGAACTTACATTGATCGAGATGCCACTAAATCATCCGAATGGTAAAAGTTGAGAGCAACGTGAGATAATGTCGTTATTATGACATTAGGAAAGTTTATTAGTCATTAATACCACACACGTGCTTCCTTGCCAGTTGTTTCTGTCCGTCATGCCAAGCTTAATGCACTTCACTGTACGTTTCAAGTGATTATGATCACTTGTGGTGTTTTGGAATTATTTACCCAAAAAAAGAACAGAAGAAATTATGCATATCTGAGGTAGATAACTGTGAACGAGTTTTGATAAAGATGTTTTTCAAGAACACACTTTATCCCCCGCCGTAAAATTAACGGCTCTTTCACAAACAAAAACTTTTCATTTCTTTCGTCTGCTTTATCCGTATCTGATGGACCCCGCGCTGTTCTAATTAACAAATTCGCCACTTCAAAGGGTATCTTAAAGGCGGTTATCTGCTGGTCTCGGTTTTTAACATTTTACTGCAAAGTCATAAAAAGTCGCGCCTCTTCAGGCGAACATTTCAAAAACAGTATTTCTCATTTCGGTAATTACCTTGCATCCACCCCCCAGGCTTGAGTCGTGTTTCAATTTTTATTCTGAAAAACTCAATTGTTGCAAAATGTCAATTTTACATCATTTTTATTACACAAAACCACTGAATTTGCGCTTGTGGGAAAACACTCTAGAAGTTTCAGAGTAGAAATAATTGACATTTTTGGCCCATTTTTAGGTGCTTTTGATCGATCAGCGGGATCGAATTGAATCAACGATGGCTTTTTCAGTCTAGACTCAAACGAGAGTTATATGCGTATTGTGAAGCTTTAAGTCGAAAGCATTGTAAAGAGCTGGAAAAACACGCATGTAAAATTTTTATTTTTGAACCGAAATTTTATTAGGGGCAAAAATCGAATTTTCGAAAAATGAACTGGTTCAAAATGCCGCCAATTATAAATAATTTTGATTACAAGCCTGAAATTCGAAATAATAATTTTTGACCAATTTTAAGCGGTTTTTGATCAGTCACGGTCTTCAATCGATGAGGTCTTCCTAATTATAGAATTGAATTCGCTATTTAAGCATATTGCGGAGCTTTTCAGGTTGAAAGCTCAAAAAACACGCATGCAAAAGTTTGATGTTTGATCGAAAAGTTCATTAAGGTAGAGGTGAAATTTTCAAAAAAAGTATATTTTCGTTCAAAATACGTCAAATTATACGTAATATTCGTTACAAAGAAGCGAGAACAGTTATGCGCTCATGGAAAAATACACTAGAAGTTTCAAATTAGAATTAATTGCCATTTTTGGTCCAATTTAAGAAGTTTTTGATCAGTCACGATCTTCAGTCGATGATATCTTCCTTATTATAGTCTCAAATTGCGCTATTGATGCATAATGTGGAGCATTTTAAGTCGAAAGCATTGTAGAAAGCTGAAGAAATACGCATGTGGAATTTGTATTTATGCTTGAAAATTTTATTAGGAGCAAAAATCGAATTTCCGAAAAATACCAAATCGTTCAAAATGCGTCCAATTATACATAATTTTCATTACAAGCAAGCGAGATGTGCAATGCGCTCATTGAAAAACACATTAGAAGCTTTAAATTGGAAATAATTGCCATTTTTTACCAATTTTAAGTGGTTTAGTTTCTAGTTAACACTGGAAGATTCAAATTAGAATTAATTGGTATTTTCGGCTCATTTTAAGATTTTTAAGCTGTTTTTGATCAGTCACGATCTTCCGTCGATGATATCTTCCTTATTATAGATTGAAACGCGTTATTGTTGTATATTGTGGAGCTTTTTATTCAAAATTTTGATTTTTAATCGAAAATTTCTTACAGCTTTAATGTTTTTGATCAATCACGATCTTCAGTCAATGGTATCTTCTTAATTATAGATTTAAACGCTACACATATGTTTTCTTAGCGCGTTTTAGGTCGGAAGCAATCCATTGAGTTGAAAAAACAAACATGTAAAATTTTTATTTTTGATCGAAAATTTAAGAGTCTTGGAGTCGATTTATGCAAAAAATATCAAGTCTCTCAAAACGGCTCAAATTTAGCATCACATTAAGCATTCCATTGAGTTGAGAAAACAAACATGTTACATACGGTCTTGGAGTCGATTTATGCAAGAATATCAAGTCTCTCAAAACGACTCAAATTTAACATCATTTTCATCAAAAAAGAGCAAGGAATGAATGACGCTCTTTGAGAAACACGCTTAACGCGCGCTATAAGATTCAAATTTCAAATAATTGACATTTTTTTGAACAATTTTCAGCTGCTTTGATGGGTCAAAATATTTAATCTGTGATTGCTTCCTTCTAACAATGGCCGCAGAAGCGAAACTTTTTAACATTGAAGGCTTTTTAGTCCTAAATGCTTTGATAAATCCAATTCGATCAATT